TGAGGCATTGAAAATTTTTTTTGAGAGTACGCACATTCGAAAAAAAAATTATTTTCTTTTTCGAAAGATTTGGAAATTTTGAGAAGTCTGTCACTGTAATACCGATATTTCAGTCATTTTAAACATTTTTTGGCTGATTTTTTTACTGAACATTATTTACAATCCGTACAAGAAGCCTTGTAAAGGATTTTACAATTAAAGAATAGATGACGAAGTTACAGACCAAACAAGGTCGAGAGAAGCAAAATTGAAATTTTTGTAAAAATCAAAGTTGTATATTTTACCATTCACCCAGGTAATAAGATATCGCTTCAAAAATTCTTGTGAGTGTAGCTGATGATCATATCCAACTTTTTGGAGCAGGATTTCTCTCAATTTTGAGTTTTAAGGTATGAAATGTGGCCTCAAACGACTTCGTAAAATTCATCGTAAAAAAGGGCCAAACATGGCAGATTTAAGGCTTAAAATGCCTATTACTCAAAAAGCATCAATTTTTTGAAATTATTTTTACAGAATCGTAATCAGCTTGAGAAGACGAATCTTTTAGTACCAAATAGGTTATTTTAGAAGACAAATTGTCTTAAATCATTTTCTAGCTTGAACACGAGGGTCCCCCCTTGTATAAATTTTGTACAAATTGTACACGCTTTTTTACAAATTTTTTGTCTTAAACTATAATTAATTTGGTACTAAAAGATTCGTCTTCTCAAGCTGATTACGATTCTGTAAAAAAAATTTCAAAAAAAATTAAGCCTTAAATCTGCCATGTTTGGCCCTTTTTTACGATAAATTTTACGAAGTCGTTTGAGGCCACATTTCATACCTTAAAACTCAAAATTGAGAGAAATCCTGCTCCAAAAAGTTGGATATGATCATCAGCTACACTCACAAGAATTTTTGAAGCGATATCTTATTACCTGGGTGAATGGTAAAATATACAACTTTGATTTTTACAAAAATTTCAATTTTGCTTCTCTCGACCTTGTTTGGTCTGTAACTTCGTCATCTATTCTTTAATTGTAAAATCCTTTACAAGGCTTCTTGTACGGATTGTAAATAATGTTCAGTAAAAAAATCAGCCAAAAAATGTTTAAAATGACTGAAATATCGGTATTACAGTGACAGACTTCTCAAAATTTCCAAATCTTTCGAAAAAGAAAATAATTTTTTTTTCGAATGTGCGTACTCTCAAAAAAAATTTTCAATGCCTCAAATCTTACAGTTGTAATCTATACTTTCATAATATGAAGTCAAATCCCGGGTCCCGGCAAAAAAGGTTTTGGTGTATGTCCCCTTAATTATGTCACTGTACCGTTTTTTCAGGGAGTTCCGCTAAACTACCCAGGTAGTCCCACCGGTTTTTTTCGCACCTATCTATATTGTGCACAGCACCATCTCCAGCTCTATCCTTGAAAAGGTTGGGAACTGCAAGGTTTGCTTTGTCATTTTCCTGGCCGCCTTTAAATTGAATTACAAACATGACACAGTGTTGTGAACACAGGCACACGTCAAGTTTTGGAGCGATATGGCCGCAGTCGGGTAAAACGGTATAAGGTAGGCAGTTTTTTTGGTTGAAAAATGTTGTCTGCCACTAGAAGCTTAGAAGTAGAAGGTAGTTCTTCATTTTTACGCTGGCTTAAGCTTTATGTCAAAAGTTGGAGAAACATGATCATTTTCTGCTCCCTGATTTTGTCCCATAGTGTATTAAATCTTATAATTGAATTATTTTCCGTCAACAAATGACATTTCACCTGCACCCCTTATATTATATATATTAGATATGTACTGATCTCCCCGCTTTAAACCATATTTCACGGTTAGTTTTCAAGCTAGTGTTATCGGATTATGGTTACGGTAATAAAGTTAGGGTAAGAGTTAGACTGCAAGAAATGTACCCGGCTGCCGTCACGTCACAGGATCGTTATCATTTTAAAGGGATTTCAACACCTCGCTCATATCTTACTTTTCACTTATCATGCAGTGACTCCCCAATTAGCTTCTCCATAAAAACTACCTATTTGTCCACGTGGTTCCTCTCTTGTGTGAAATATCCGTGAAACCCGAGTAGACAACTTACCACTTGTGATCACGTGATACTTCACTGCCGTTTAATTTCAAATTACCTTCGGGGTCTCCTATATAAGACAGCTTTAATTTTGTAATTGAGACCACAACTTTCGTATTTTACTTCAGCATGTTCCTCATCTTGTCACCCACTATTGCAGAAGTATGCTACCACCAAAGAAACAGATTTAACGCGTGCTTGCATAAAATTAAATATAGAACGTCTTGATTTTGCTTGTTCAATTTTCATGCCCGCCGGTAGTCCCGCCGGTTTTTTCGTCCAGAACGCTTTTAATAAATTTGTCGAATAATAATGTGTGAAACTTTTCTTCCTTTTTCTCCAACTGCACTATAATAGTGGCAGTGCACTATTATACAACTCAGCTATATTCATGACCGGTCATAAAACATATTTTATGCAATTGTTATGCATTCATACCTTTCTCAATTCACACCTTTAAAACCATTAGATTTATGTTGTTTTCCTAAAACGATCGAAGGATCGAGTCTTCACTCATTATAGTGATCGATTGGTCATTTAGCTCTTGGAAGATTACTGTATTTTATTATGTTGTAGTTTTGTTATACGTCTCGTAAGTCGTAAGGAGAAATAGACAGAAATTGTATTATATTATTTGTAATGACACTTGTGTCAGATGCTAACCATATGGTCGGTATACATGAAGCACATTATTTCATGTAATGAGGTAATGCAGAGCACCTTACAATTCGAATTTTATAATTTCATCTGTCTGTATACCAGTGTGTAAATAATTATGACTCGTTTTGCTATGACTTTAATAAGTTCATTCGCGCCACATGAGTGGTTAACAAAGTGGCTAATGTAACCAATGACTGCTGTATAAGGGTAGGTTTAATCTGTCAGCGAATCTAGTGGAGGTTCCGGAAAATATTTCGGGAAGGGGAGAGTTATCTGAATTTTATAACAATTATTAAATTCCAATTTAAGGGGTAGTTGACGGTAATGTTTAACTGAACCAAGCCTAATTTGTTTTTGGCATCCATGCAGATAAATTCAGACGGAAGAAATTTCCTGAATATAGACTTATCAATTAGTGTTTTTTATATGGCATATTTATTTAAATTTTTATGCCATATTATAACTTTTCTGTATTACTTATCCGTCCGTAAAAAAGATGCACACAATTTTTGTCAATTTCCATCTGCGATTGGAAGAGAGTATCAGGCTCGGAGATAAGATAATCTGTCTTACTTCAAACACAAGAATATATTAGCAGCGATCATGCTAAAACTGTCGATACAAATTTACTGATTAGATGCATGATTCATTTATAATATTACAAGTAAAACAGGTGAAGGGGGAGTAGAATGGTAAACATTTTGTAACACGCACATTAAGATTGCCAAACGTTGTGACTCAGTCACTGTATTTTGGTGATTGATTGCACTGAGTTATATTCTTCACTTCGCCTGCACGAGACTCCACTCCTCTGATATATACTTGATTAGACGAGAATGAGGCACCACCAATTCGAGTATTACATGCAGCTGTGCGGTACATTTTGATGCTTCGTATCTAGTATGCAACTATGCACTTTGCAATTTAGATCTTATCTCCTTCATTTACTATTTTTAAATTCAGAGCTACTTTGTCAATTTTTCAGAATCAATTTAATTATATTAAAACCACTTAAATCAGCATCTCTTCCCAATTTTATCGCAATCTTATTAGCCATGCTACCTAGATTGATCAAGCTGGTTTTGGATGTGAGATCAAATATTTAGTATGATCAATATCCTGATCATTTGGAAACATGGCTAATTTACCAACTATTATAGTCTGATTTAAAACTAAGTTTAATTCTTGCTACGTGCTGTTCATTGTGTTTAATGTTGCTAAAATCAAAAATAGCTATATTAGCAATTGTTGTTTACTCGACGGGTTACACTTATATCTTACATGGATATAAATAATAGACCAAATTAGTAATTACGTGGTTTTACAGGGATTCTTACTATGTTATAATAAGAATCCCTGTAAAACCACGTAATTACGCGTAATTTGGTAATTTATACGTTATTTGATAATTTAGTACTTTAGTAGCACAGCCTGGTTAAGACAGACTCTTACACTAATTTCATAACGGTTTAGTTGCAATTTTGAGTGTGTTTTTGACACAGTTTGATGTTTGCTATATTCGCCTAATTGGGGAAAAGTTAGAGACTTTTTTATACTTGTCTTAAAGAATTGTGTCTCAGTGTAAACTGTAAACGCCCTCTTTTTCAAGAAACCCTTCTTGTTTCACCATTTGCAGAAGTTTTCAAGCTTATATACATCGTTCGTTTGATTCGACGCAATATTTGACTTAATCGGAAAGAATTTTTCACCTTGTGCTTTTTTGCAAAAGTATTTTATACAGTATGTTTGGATACTAACTCGGAACTCCGTTCTAAAATGGTGTCCAGATATAATTACTGTGCTCATCATTGTAATATGATTTGATTGTTATGATATGATATATGACACAACAGTCAACACCAAGTCTTGGTCGATGGGGGTATGCCACCTGCCAGCAGGTGTGTCCCTAGTACCTTCACGTGACAGCTTGATATCATTTCACGTGACTTTGTGGTGTTTATATCTGACAGTGTGGTCCACCTTCAGGAGACTTCGCTCCCAAGTGCGACTTAAAGCGAATTTAATGTTTTGCAAGCAGTTCCCAAAATAGTTCCTTCCTGTGATGCATGTCTGCATTTGCCCAACCTACTAGGTTTCATAATATAGAATTAGCTACTCTTCTCATAGTCGGAAAATATAAGCTTTTCTAATTCCGTCTTATTAGAAGCTTTGTTAAATAATTTACTATCAACTAGTTAAATACTTCTAATCACCCACCCCATTACTCCTCTCATTCTACCTGAAAAAAATATGTAGTTAGAAAGGATCACTGATGAAACTATTTTTAGATAAGACAAGTAAGAAGAAAGGATCACGAGTCAAAAAGAAGGCAAAAAAGAAGCTAACGGGACGTGTAGGCGAGTAAAGAAGAAAAGTAGCACTGAGAGAAACAAACGAGTGATATGGCAGCCTACGAGAAAGTAGGGGAGGTAATTAATAATTCAGATACTATTGACCATATTTAACCAAAGGCTGGCTATTATCCGGCTAATTACCGGTCGGCATTGTACCTATTTGCTGTTTTATGATATCTTGCAAGTATGCCGTATATGGGAACTTTGGAGGATAAAAGATGATGCATATACGCATGTTGCATGTCGCATATCCACACCATATTTAGTTCAATTAAAAAGCTGACACATTTGAGTAATGATAAATGAACTTTTATTAAGGGATTGTTATTAACTTGACCGCATGATGGCGTGAAATTTGTTGTCGTAAAGTTACACTTTCCCTACTTGATTAACCAGACGTGGAAATGTTTTTATTGTGCCATCTGGTAACCCAAGGAAAATGGTTGCCCTAAACATCTTCATACCTGAGAACTAAGGGATCACGTCAGATACCTACAACTCGTGATGGCACTAGTAAGGTTGGAGACAATTTACCTCGTCGATGCAGTGTACGCGTCTGCGGTAACTCCTCCTATTTGAGGGATTTTCAGCCTCGGAGGGCTTCGTTTATTTAGAATTGGCAAATGATCCGGTATCAACATATGAAGAAGTACATCATTTGTGACGTAGCTGTCATTAAAAACCGTTCAGAATTTCGCTGTTTCCCAGCAACTTCTCTTGTCCCCCGAATCAGTGCAGCTCGCTTTCAACGATAAAACCGATTATTGATAGAGTTATAGATTTTTCAGTACCATTAACCTTGATACAATTTCCGTCCCATTACAATAATTTAATTTTAGGCGGTGCTAAGTCTTAGTTTACAGACTTTTTGATTATTAAAAAGCTGATGACTACACCTCTTGCAAATGGAATTTTAAACGGCATTAGTCGCTCACCTCTGTACATTAGCCATCCGATTTTGTGCACAGTTGTTTGTCACCTGCTGAAAATTTCCTTATTTTTAATTTGAACTGTTGTTTAGAACTTGATCTAAACCGTGATAAAAGGATAAAGTACAATGCAGAACAAGGTGATTTTTATTTACTCATTATTTACCATTTTGCAAAGCCAACGTTCACTATAATTTGTTTTATCATATTTGGGAGGAGGAAACAAAGAGTGTTATCGCGAAACCCTGACCAATACAAGTTTCATTAAACTTCACTTCAAACTGATGGTCCTATTTTTATTAAAATATGCATTGTAAAAATAAAGCACGACTCGGTCATTCACGTGAACATTCTTTTTATAGTCTTGCAAATATAAACCTCCAATATGTTTTACAGGTTGAAGTTGCGGTGTTAGAACCAGAAGATAAAGATGTATCTACGGGAGGTTCAGAAGAAAAGAGAGACTCCTGGGGAGATAAGACAGAGTACATGTTGGCCCTGATAGGGTACGCTGTCGGAATAGGAAACTTGTGGAGATTTCCTTATCTTTGTCACAGATACGGTGGAGGTTGGTTTTGCTCCTGATTTTCGGTTGTTTTTGTTGTTGTAATTTCGTGTTACTGTATTATAGAGTTTTATTTTTTCCTGCTATTTTCTGTTTGAACATAATATTTCGTTCGTATATTGATCTGTTTTAAAGTTAACACCTTGTCAGGTTCGTTTCTGATACCGTACATAATAATGCTGGTATTGCTTGGAATACCTCTCTTCTGCCTGGAAACCTCTTTAGGGCAACTCACCAAGAGGGGAGCACCCGGCGCTTTTGCTGTGAGTATAAGGGGGAGTGCCGGGCAAAAGAGAAGGGGGGGGGGCGGGGCGGGGGTAAAAGAGATCAGGGGGGGGGGGGGCGGGCAAAAGGGGGGCGGGGTCAAAAGAGAGGGGGGGGGGGGGCGGACAAAAGGGGGACGGCGGCAAAAGGGAGGGGGGCGGGCAAAATGGGGGGTTTTTGCTGTGAGTTAAGGGGGGGGGGGGGGGGGGCTAAAGAGTGAAGGGGGGCTTTTTCTGTGAGTATTTAAAATTGTCATCAGCTGAATACGTGTTATCAGAGCGTTGTTTAATCAAATTAATTCACGAACAGAAATTCTTGGCGTCGTTACTTGTTCTTTGTGATCAGCATAACATGTAAAAAGTTAAATCTCATCTCTTCAACCCCCACAGGCGATGCACTCAGCTTTCAGAGGAATTGGCTTCGCTGCTATGGTTCTCGATCTTATCTGCAGTTTCTACTATAACTCTATCATTATGTGGATCTTAAGATACTTTTTTTCTTCCTTTACCACTGGTAAATATTCATTAGCAAATAGTATGCGCTGATTTTAATAAAAAACAGTGTAGAAATTTAAAGGTATATAAATGTAATCGATTATTTCACAAATTATCTGTCTCATTGATTTAACTGCCCAGGAGCACTGCCCTGGTCGGCTTGTCCTGTTGATGTTGAAACGTGTTGTATACATGAAGATAACTCTACTATGTACTATTGGTGAGTAGATGACGTAATGATAGACTTATTTCATACCACGTGACTAATTAATGGTGAGCCATTTCTATTTTTCTATTCTGTCTCTGACGTGAGACTGCGTATAACCAATCAGCTACCATGGCAGCTACCAATCACGCCGTCGAATTTCAGTTTTAAATTAAAACTAAAAATACGTGTTAAAACTTAATTAACGTTTTAGTATCCTACTCTTTGATGACATGAATTACGGTTTTAAGAAAACCTTTAAAGATGGATGCCTAAGCCTGATGTCTAAGTTGGATATATAAATTTTGCACAGTAAAGTTCCGTTAATTATTCTCCTTGTCAGGTATTACGAGACTCTAGGAGCGAGTAACGACATAACAACAGTTGGTGGAATTGATTGGTACCTGTTCGGAACACTCATCGTAGCCTGGGTCGTATGTTTTCTATGCATGAGCAGAGGTATACTCCTTACTTACTCCTTACATACTCCTTACATACTCCTTACATACTCCTTACTTGTTGAAATTACAATCAATATTTTATTATTTTTGTAAACATCTAAAAAAGTCACACAAATTTTGAAATTTTTATTCTTGCATGTAGGTTTTTAATCTTAGTCCTTATGGACGGTTGATTTCGGAATAAAAAAGTTTTTAACCACTTTTTGAAAAAAAAACCCGATAAAACGGTTTTAGTTTATATTTCACACGTTTGGACGTTTTCAAAATGTTGGCAATTTTAACGGTAGATATTTATAGATTTACGTTTTTACAAGTGAATTAAGCGAATTCATTTGAATTCCAATTTCCACCTTTCCCGCCTCTCAGTCCAAATAAAAGCTCTGATTTGGGGTGTCCTACAAATACAAAACGTTTTTTACCGTTTAGAACGGAAAAATTGGTCGGAATACCTAAAAAGTGACTCCATGACGCTTGTTTCACATTTTTGTTATCGTAATCGATTGGAAATTCTTTGTTAGTCAGAACCGCATCCAAAGGCTTCGACATTACCTAAGGACCCCTGCAGCTGATAAAAGTGTTCATAAAAGTGTTCATTAAAAAAAAGTGTTCATAAAAACATTGAACTTGAAGTCGATTAAGGCTGAGGCGATTGAAGCTGCGGTGGAGTGATCAGTACAGGCTGAGCGCCGCCCAGTAAGCTTTGACCAAGCACACTGCACAATCACATTTTTGCATGCAGGTTTCTAATAGTTCATCTGCCACAGTTTGTTTCACCACTTGATTGGTTTCTTGCACTTGCAGGCAGCTTTTTTATTAGTTCATCTGCCACAGTTTGTTTTATTTGACCTAAACCTGTTTAGAATTTGGCCTCCAAATTTTTTTAAAGGCCTAACTCAAAATTCCATATTAAAACTTAAGGTCAAAATGCGATTATACGTTGATTCTGAAAATTTCATGTAAAAATATTGAAACCCTATTGTGTTCTATTGTTTTGAGCGAAATTAGTTTCGCAAATATTGCGAACTGAGATATGGGCAATTTTGTTCATTTTTTGCGATTATTTGAACACAGAATCCACAATTAGGTAGATACTGAGCTGATAATCATAAAGAATGTGTAGTATGGGCTTACCTTCCATATGAATTCGCTTAATTCACTTGTAAAAACTTAAATCATTTTCGCGACGATTACGATTGCTCTTATAAACGGGGTATGCAGTGTTGTAATGTTTCATGTAAATTTCTGAGAACTTGTCATACTGTTCATTCGCACTGCCTGATTCCCGCGCCTCCTCCCATGTCTCCCCTTCCAATAGCTCCTTGAACATAGCATTGCTAGCTTCATTAATAGTACGTGTTTCACGGTATTTTGTGGTATCGGTCCTATTTGAGTGTGTGGTGTGCTTTTGTGATACTGCTCGTAACTTTATAGTGGTCAGCGTTGCAAGATGATCGGAGATGTCGAGTGTTAACACGTTGCTACTTAATGTGTTTTCAGTATTATTTGTGTACACATGGTCAATAAGGGTGGCACTGTGGTAAGTGACTCGTGTTGGTTTTGAAACAGTTTGAACAAAACCATATTTTGCCAGTGTGTCAATGAGGTTCTGGCTTGAGGAATCAGTGTCATATTTAATAAGATCAATATTTGCATCGCCATAAAACATAACGTGTTTTTTTGTGAGTGTCTATCCAGTCTATTAAGTACGTGATCGAGTAAGCTCATGACTTTATTTGTATCTCTTGACGGTGATCTGTAAAAATTTACTATAACCTTGGAATTTTGACTAGTTGGAACTCGCCACTCATGTCTTCAGGATCCAGAGCTAAGTCAATACGTTCAATTTGATCAAAATCGCACACGCGTTTGTTTATGTAGATTGCTAACCCACCTCCTCTCCCCGATTTTCGTAAAGGTGCTTGTATAACAGGTTCGTGAAAACCCTCGATTGTGATATCATCAATACCATTAGGCAGCTTATCAATGTTACAGTTAGTTTCATTAAAGCATAACACATCGCATTTTGAGGAGGTGTGGATTTCTTCTTTAAGATATGTTATGTTTTTTGCTAGTGATCGAATATTTAATGAAAATACTTTCAACTCGTCTTTGGCGGAGTTTGTGACGTTTTTAGGTTATTTATATTTGCACTTGGTTAAGATTTCGCTTATTTTATTCCAGTATTCGTTGTTCATGTCACTATTCTGATCTAAACTATTGCTGATGGACAGTTACAATATATAACAGTAACGGAAATAATGGACACAAATCACGATCATGACCAAGATTACCGTTACTTAGACACCTAAAAGTAAATGTCTGTCAATAAAATAATAAATAAAAATGGTATAAATTTCAAAAAACCAGGGTAGAAAATAAAACCATTTGCATTCATAAAATGGTCAACTGAAAATAAAAATCCACAAATTCACATCACTGCAACGTTCAGACCCTCGCCCATCAAACACTCCCTCACCTTTTAAGATAAAGGCGTGTTGATGATCAGGTTAATTAGGTCCAATTCACTACCTAATTATCGCCGTTACTTCATGATTTTCAATCACTAGAATTGCAGATCGCCTGATTGCAGATCACCTGATTGCATGTTGCCTGACCGCAGGAATTGCTCGTCGTGTAATTGTATTCTCTAAAATTCGCTGTATTTAGTTTTACCAAAATCGGGTAAATTGGACCGTCACCAGTGCTACATTTTTCCAAACGAAAAGAAATGACATATTGATATATTTAAAGTAAATTAAAGTGCAAAATGATACCGAGAATAAAATGGTCGCTCGCTTTTACCATTTATTCACGGCCAGCAAATTGTAACGAATTTAAATTTACTATGTTCATCAATCCCACTATGTAGAAACATTTTTGGGTTGCTTTTGGACCAATATCTTAACCTATAAACGTATAGTGTGTCCGCAGTCCGATCGGCTGAGGTTTATCGTTAGATTCGAGTACTGCCAGTGTTCCTCAATATATTATCAATTGTGAATGAATCTCTACATGCTCATCTTTACTTAACGTTAATTTATTCTCAGGGGTGGAATCGTCAGGTAAAGTTGTCTACTTCACCGCTACCTTCCCCTACCTGTTGCTTGTTGTTCTGTTCTTCAGAGGAGTCACTTTGCCCGGAGCCAGAGAAGGCATCCTCTACTACCTTACCCCAAAGGTACGCGTTATATCTTAAGTTAGGAAATGTATCCTTGTGTTTGAATGGAGGTTTAAGTCTGTGATACATCAGCAGTGATCATTGCAGTAGTGCTTAAAAATAAATATGTTTTCTAGTTTAAGTTACAGCTTCCTCGTATACCATTGCAAATTCAACCTGCAACGATTTCTCAGAATATATTTCACATTGCTAGTTTGAACTGCTATAACATAATTTTAAGTTAAAGTTTCTAACAATATTCACCCTTACAGTGGGAGCACCTAGCGGACCCCACAGTCTGGAGAACCGCAGCTACCCAGATATTCTACTCGCTGGGAATATCATTCGGCAGTGTGGTCGCTTACTCTTCATACAACAAGAGCAACAACGACTGTATCAGAGGTACAGTAGTTTAAAGTGTTAACAGTGAAAACACGGGTACAACAAGCAAAATGTCCCCTCTGATCGGCATGTTGGTTATATAATAGAACGTGAATTAATACTTTGAGTATTCAAAATGTTGACAGCAGGCAGGGTTATCGCATCTAGGGTTTTATTTTCATCAAAATTATAGAATAGATGTGATTGTTTCTTCAAATCTAGGTTTCTTCAAATTAAGCTTTCTTAGTAGAAGTGACACTGATATAATGTTTAAACTTCCCCCCAGATGGAATAGTAGTTACGCTAATTAACTGTGGTACCAGCGTGTTCGGCGGATTCGTTATCTTCTCCTTGTTGGGGTACCGAGCTCACAAGACCGGTAAATCTCAACGATGGTGTTAGAAATCTTCTATAAGCATCTTTTATTCTTTTGCTCTAGTAGCATTAATAATATAATGCCATAATTGTCATAATTAATGACATAATTGTCATAACTGAATCTAATAACCAATCATTGTACTACCAGGAGTGAAGTTTGAGGAGCTGAAATCAGGGCCAGGTCTAGCGTTCATAGCAATAACAGATGCCATCAGTGAGATGTCAGTGGGACCCCTTTGGTCCATCCTCTTCTTCTTCATGCTCTTCCTCCTTGGTCTGGACTCTCAGTTTGGCATGTTGGAAAGTCTCCTCACCTCACTTAAGGATGAGTTTACTTATCTGAATAAAATTAGGAAGGAGTTTGTTTCAGGTTTGTTTTGGATGGTTGTGAATAAAGTATAAACTGACTAATGTTTTGTTCTGAAATTTGAAGAATGATAAAATGTCGTATGATAATGCCAGAAAGTTGTTGAAATATTATAAATTCCCCAACGTGTGAACATTTTCAGGAGGTATCTGTCTGGTGCTGTGTATCCTTGCTATTCCCATGTCCTTCGAAGGAGGCCTCTACATCGTGGACCTCCTTGATAACTGGTCCTTGTCATATCCTCTCCTCATCGTCGCTTTTCTAGAGATTGTTGTCGTGGCTTGGGTATATGGCGTTAACAAGTTAGTATTTTTTCAATTAAATATTTCTCCAATTTCACAGAGTACAGCAATAAATGAATATAAAATACAAATAGAATCGTTCTAAATATCGGCCTATATCGATATTTTTCTTATTTCTAGCTTTCATATATTTTTCTAGCTTTCATATTCCATGTCTTTCCCTCATAGGAGATATTGTGGTCTTTTGTAAATGTAACTGTAATACATTGATGTAAAGTTTATTTGAATTTTGAAATTAAAAATGACATGAAGTACTGAATTACAGACTGACTAAACTTAGAAAGTTTACCTCGCCTCAATGTATATTGTATAACCCTGCAACGTAGGGTTTGATTTAGGGCTGGGATTTTATAAGCTTAAACTCGGGAGTATAATAAGTTGGGAGTCAAGGAACTATGTCGAGGAAAAAGAAGTCGTAGGGGTATGGAGTAACTTGATTAAACACGCTTTGTGAAAATATCAATATCGCTCATTAATTCCGCAGGTTCTGCAAAGATATCAAGGATATGATAGGATATGAACCAAATATCTACTTCAAAGCCTGCTGGCTGGTGATATGTCCTCTCGTTATAGCAGTCCTGATACTTTCAGGGATTGGTCTGTCCATCATTGAGGGGTATCCACTGTATGATAAGTTTGTCGGGTGTGACAACAGCACCTTGGAAGCCCAGGTTAATTGATAAATTATTTGTCATCTTCTGATGGGGAAAATATAATTGACATTGATATAAAATGGTTTGACAGTATCACTATTTGATGCCGGTATTTAAATCCCTAGGAAAGGGCTTCATCAACATTATAATGCTATCAGTAAAGAGAAGTAATAATTAAATAATAATATTCTTAACAATTCAGGGTCTTCCTTTGGAGGCGAACCCGACGTGGGTAGTGAAGGATCAGTATCCTGGAGTCTTCGTCTTCATCATCGTCCTGTTAAATGCTTTGTAAGTTTATCTTTCTTCATCATCGTCCTGTTAAATGCTTTGTAAGTTTATCTTTCTTCAATCTTCATCATCGTCCTGTTAAATGCTTTGTAAATTTCTCTTTCTTCAATCTTCATCATCGTCCTGTTAAATGCTTCGTAAGTTTCTCTTTCCTCATCATCGTCCTGTTAAATGCTTTGTAAGTTTATCTTTCTTCATCATCGTCCTGTTAAATGCTTTGTAAGTTTATCTTTCTTCATCATCGTCCTGTTAAATGCTTTGTAAGTTTTATTTCTTCATCATCGTCCTGTTAAATGCTTCGTAAGTTTATCTTTCTTCATCATCGTCCTGTTAAATGCTTTGTAAGTTTATATTTCTTCATCATCGTTCTGTTAAATGCTTTGTAAGTTTATCTTTCTTCATCATCACCCTGTTAAATGCTTTGTAAGTTTCTCTTTCTTCATCATCGTCCTGTTAAATGCTTTGTAAGTTTATCTTTCTTCATCATCGTCCTGTTAAATGCTTTGTAAGTTTCTCTTTCTTCATCATCGTCCTTTCAAATGCTTTGTAAGTTTATTTTCTTCATCATCATCCTGTTAAATGCTTTGTAAGTTTCTCTTTCTTCATCATCATCCTGTTAAATGCTTTGTAAGTTTCTCTTTCTTCAATATCATCCTGTTAAATGCTTTGTAAGTTTCTCTTTCTTCATCATCGTCCTGTTAAATGCTTTGTTAGTTTCTCTTTCTTCATCATCATCCTGTTAAATGCTTTGTAAGTTTATCTTTCTTCATCAACGTCCTCTTAAATCCTCTATAATTTTATCCTTGCTAAAACCCAATTCAATATTTTCAGTTCGTGTTTCATGATTCCCGGTTACATGATCTTCTACTACAAAGAGAAGATTGTCTCCCTTTGGAGAAGTAAATTTTAATGAAGCTCTATGATAGCACTATGATGTCTACAGGCTACTTCTTATTTAGTGACTTTATTAATCTATGATAATGCGAAGTTCATTATATGCAGCTCTTAGTTATGAAACTTAATCAATAATTATGCTGTTACCAAACATTTTTAGGATCATTTGCAGATGTTACTGTTGACTATTAATTATTATTATATGTGTTACTTATCAGTATTTGTGACCTTAGGATACTGTTAAAAATGAAAACTAAAAACAGCTATATTTTCTTGTGGAATTGGGGCTGATAAATTATTGACAGATACTGATAAATGGACTTGTTGATTATCAGCTAGGACTTATGGTGAACATTTAAATTCATCTAGACAGTTTAAATGAATTAACACCCCAAATCTCTTCGATTTCAACACCGTGATTTAAATTCGAGTATTTACGACACAAATTAATTTAGCAGTGGTGGAATTGCTACTCATGTTCTTTTCTTAAGTAAAGTGTAAAGTAATCCGAAACTTAGATGTTACATTATACAGTCAAATGTAACATTACAGTCAGATGTAACATTACAGTCAGATTTATCTATTGAGAATTTGCACACAAATCTAAAAAATAAAAACAGGTCTCAATAAATTTCGGTCTACTCTGCGATAAAATTGATTTTTAAGTCAACTTTTTCAAAGATCATCATAAATGCATTTTGTTACGTCTTGGTTGTAAGAAAAATCGGAATATATCGCCACCTCCTGCCTGCAATGAAACTGTTCATAGAGTAGTTCGAATTCAAAGGCTAGTATTTTGTGTGGATTTTAGGATCTCGCAGTTCCCAGTTCTTTTTGCCGGGGGATATTTATCCTTAACATTTTTATGGCACCACTTTCTGTTGAATTTTCCGTTTCTGTATTTGTAGCAACATCTTGTCAGATAATATTCTTTAAATAGTTGACCATCACTACAATTAAATTTGAAATTGACTATCTGCCTACAATGATTGCAGTACATGTATCGTTAATTTATGAAGTAATAGACAGTAGACTTCATCATTAATTGTTTTTATTCGTACATTTCTGAAGATAATTTAATTTCACGAAGCTGAATATACAGCTAAGATGGTAAGTTCGTACGGTACGTACCTTTAAATTAGCTGTACGGTACGTACTTAATAAAGTAGGCTGAAAGGTTGAATCCAGTTGATAGCAATGGAAACAAAAACTAGACGGTACGTGCGACAGAGAAGGGGTAAAACCCTACACTGATGCGGAATCAGAACCTATGAAGCTTATTATAATTAATCCGTCAATATACTGGAAATATTTTGGAGGATAACTTTTTCTGCTTAAACAGTTGGCCCAAATAGTATTCAGTGTTTTAAGTTCTTCGTCAATTTGTGAGACCAATTTTAGAGATTACGAGTATATTATGGACAAGCGTAGATTAAGGTTGCGACCTGAGCTAGCTGAAAAGCTGGTGTTCTTATACTGCAAGTGCAACAAAAGGATGAAGCTTTGAGTTTAACGATAATTACAAGTAGTAGTAGTGTAGTACCGGTTAAGAGCGATCCGGTACACAAATTTTCCTCTTAAATCTTTGATTGTTTTAACCACTGTGTTAATTTTCGACTTCTATCTCAAAAATTATGATGATAATAGTACTAATCAAAAATTGCAAGTAATTCACTGAAGTTGATTCTAAAAATTTGAAAAAAAATTGTACCTTACAGTGCCTGTACGGTACGTACCTTTAAAAGTAGATGTACCGTACGTACTTAAAGCCCTGTACCGTACGTACTTGCCATCTAAGATATACAGGTGTTAACTTTGTATGAAACGGGAGCAGGAATTAAGCTGAATCGTTTGGTAGAAACATGTAGTGTGGAAGTTATCAGGTTAACTTTAAAAATGTTGGCGTAACCCCCTATATACACGAATTATAATCGCTACTTAATTTCATTCTTCATCGTATCAAAAAATTGCTGAAATATTGTTATAAACTAAACCAAACGTGTTACAATTAAAATGAATCAGCGTTAATTGCGAACCCTTAATAAAAAGAGCTGGTCTTACCTGATATTATAATATTACCACTTTTGAATACTCCCTTACATTTACAACCTCACATTTCACTTTTTGATAGCCTTCAGGAAGCAGACATTTTTTAAAACGTCATTATTCTCAGATACGTTGTATTCAGTTTTATAGTATGTAGTCTTCAGGAACTTTAACACAATGCGGATTATTCGGAAAAGGGAGAAAGGCCATGGTACCAATAGTTACAAAACAATGAAGTTGAATAAATATAATTAAAATGAATAAGTGAGCCCTATTTTATCTCCCAATCCTGGTCACACCTTGTGACCAGTCACTTGTAAACATGAGCATGAGTTGCAGACAAAGAGTGCAGTATTTTCTTATCTTATAATTTAATACACAAATCTTTAAGCACCGGGACCCCTAATAAGATTTAAGACAGGTCACATACCTGTTGACTTCAACAGACCAACAGACCTTTTGATTGGATGAAATGAAGATCAAATCAAAATGGTTAGATACCTTGCGCCTAAAACCTGCACACATTTTTTTTGTTTGTTTGGGGACTGGTTTATTAGCCAGTCAATGTTTACGAATATAATAACTTTATTACATAATCATAAATGCATATCATAAATAGATCAAATCTGAAACAGAAATTTGCACGCAGTTAATATATTTTAAAAAAAGAAATGAAAAAAGAAAGGTTTATTGATAAAACAAAATGTCAAACGAGGGATGTGTTTGAACACATGTTATTGGAAAAATAAGGATTAGGGGTGTTTCAGTGTTTCCTAGAGACATGTTGTTGTGAATTAGGGTTAGACGGAGGGAAATTCCTTCCATATTGTTGGAACTGTTCGCAATATTGCATTGGTGGACGTTGACTTACAAAATGATTTACTGTATTATAAGAACAGTTTCGTTGAATATGACCTTGTTGTTTACAGTTATAACAAGTTACGTTACGATGGAAATTATCGTTGTTATTATAATCATTGCGATAATTATACCTTTTATATTCCGGAGTCCTGGATCTACCTCGTCTATCGTTGAATCGACCTGGAGTATTAGACCTATATCTACTTCTATTGTAGCAGGGTGACTGTGACCTGGATTGGTTGCTTCCTCTGGAGTCACGTGACGACGATCTCCTACGAGATCTGTCATAGTTGTCACTTCGTTGATTTCCTTGATTGCTATCCCTATCTCTGGGTCGAGATCTATTGTGGTCTCTTGACGAAGATCTGTCTCTCCGTTGATGATAATCGGAGTTTGAGGCTCTATTGGGAGACTCCGATTTACTATATCGTTGATTATTATAAGACTCATTTCGTGGATAATCAGGTTTTTCTCTTTCCGGTTTGAACGAGTAAGTTGACTCTTTAAGAATCGAATTTACCTCCGGTTCCTCGTTGAGCATTTCGTTGACTTTTTCTAAGCGTTTTGCTAGGGTTATTGCATTTTTGAACGTTGATAAAGATGATGCTTCATTAAGTTTTCTCCTCATTTGAGGATCTTTAACTCCCCGTAGGAATGCTATTAGACTATTTTCTTCAGCATCTTGCGTGTTAGAATATGCAATCATTGCTTTTTCTCTGAGACGAAATGCGTAATCCGCAATGTTTTCGTCAACTTTTTGACGACATTCCATCACTTTGTTTTTGAGTGAGATGGACATGTCCGCGTAGATTGCTCGCTTGTAAATTGGACAGAAAAGTTGAGCATTAGCTTTTTGTTCGTTGGTAAGTTCTACATTTCTTAATTGTGAATAAGTTTCATCGTCCAAATTTTGTAGAAAAAACATGTTAAGGTTTGGATCGTTGATTTTTGCTATGTAAACGTATTCCTGGAATCGTTCACAATATCTTGAGAAGTTGTCTGTTTTGACAAATTTGGGCATTTTCGTTGATTGTGAAATTTTTAATTTTGCTAGTGCCTCTGTTAAACCTGGCTGAGCACCGTTGGTTTGGGCTGCAGTTTGAGTAATCTGTGCTTGTAATTCTAATAAATCTACAGCCTCTTGTTTAATAAGAGTAGCGTTCTCACCTGCTTCGTCGATGATGGTTTTGAGTTGTTGAAGAAGTTGTTCTTTAGACATGTCTAGTTGTTCTCCTCTGGATCAGTTGTTCTTTTTTGGATCAGGCTCCACCGTGCTTAAGGATCGTTCACATATTACGTTATCAAAGTTTTGGCAGTTTTTACCCCATCCCTCTCGTAATCAAGCATAATGATTGCCCGATCCCCCTCACAGTGGTCCACCAGGCTATAATAGGCCCAAAATCGAGTGTCATGAAATCCTGTTTATTTATTTGTTATTTGTCATAAATTATCTGCTGGTACATATTATGCTGAAGACGAGAATTAGAAATCTTTCAAAATGTGGAATCGATGTACGATATAATCCACGATTTTTTACACTGCCAAAAATTCAAGCAATTGGCAGTGAAAATTGGCCTACATCTGACTGGGTAGTTATGGAGCAGTGTATATTTGCATTAATTACTTTCTCTTTTTGTTGCTGTTTTACGTGTGGAATTTTTGCTGTTCTTTTCCATTTCAATTCATTGGTACTTTGAAAGCATGTTTAAAAATTGTAAATAGGAGTGAGTGAATAAATGACGTTATATTTTCAGCAAAATGATATAGATGTCTACGTCTAGAAAATCAGCTAGTGACAAACTCTTACAACACCTTAAAGATTGTCCAATTATCTCTGGATCGATTTCAATAGGAAAAAGGCATGTCAGCTGCAAAGGATGTAGAGTAACTAAAACCTTCGACTCTCAAGACAGAAACTTTGTGCGATCACTTGTTAGGCACAGTGAGCTTGATTGTCATAAGTTGTATTGTCACTGGACGCTCAAAAGAAATCTTAAATCTACCAATGGATTTCAAACAATCAGGATCGGGCAGTCTCTCGTAAATGATCAGATCAATAATTTCTATTAATCAAGCAAAAACCCCGGGGTTACTGGTGATGATCATGAAGCTGAAGAAGTAGAACAGGCACTGTCCCAGCCTGGACCATCAGTTAAACTGTGTAACAATAAGAATGTTGTTGTAAGTGAGCAGACTGTCAGGGAAAAATCCAAGAAGGCTACAAGCACAACGAAAGGTAAACAAAAGATCGTTAAACGTTTGATTGTTAAAGCTGAGAAGAAAAACCCGAAGAATAAAAACATTGACACGTCAGTTACTTACTTACTTGGGTTACTTGGGTTGGGTTTCGAGCTAGAGTGCTACCAGGCCAAGAATGTCTTGCATCTCCACCGCCAAGTAGTAGCGCGTCAGAGGCACGTGCCACCGGCCCACTCCAGCATTGATTTCCTGTTCTGTCCAGTGTACCCAGGTGTTGGTGGAGTGTCAGGGAATTCATTGAGGAAAGCATCAAGAGCAGGTTTGAAAGTGGTCAAGGTTAGGAGGGACTTGATGCTAGGAGGGACCACGTTGTACAGTGCAGAGGCTCTAGAGGCAAAAGAGTTGAACCTCAGGTTATTGACACTAGTGTACTTGGAGGACCCTAGTGGTCGTATACACGTTGTTCCGTGACCGTATCGTGAGGTCTCGCGGAAGTTGATGTTCATACTGTTTGGAGTGAGATTGTTATAGATCTTCCAAACTAGGATGACAGTGTATCTCTCACGCCGCCTTTGAAGGGAGTACATAGACAGGCGACGGAGGCGTTCCCAGTATAGTTGAGATTTCCAAGACCCTGGATTTTAGCAGTGAAGGATCGTTGAACTGCTTCGAGTTTAATAATTTCGCGCTGCATGTGAGGAGACCACAGAGGAAAGCAGTATTCCAGATGAGATCGTACGTAGGACTTGTACAGGAGCTTTTACTTAAAGTGTTTCCCAAACGCGTCAAAGTTACAAATTTACACGTGCAAGTAACAAATGCGCGCCTTAAATGCGCGCAAAAGCTCTGATGACGTAATTCGTCATGCAATTGCTTGTTGGTGCGACGTGCTTGTTGGTGTGCCGTATTTCACGCGCGACGCTTGGATTTTGTTA